GGCGCCCCTCCCCCCAGAGCCTGGCTCCAAATAGCGTCCGCTATTTCCCGACCGTAGAAGGAAACGGGAGCGGCGGCTTCGGCTGCTTCCGAAAACACCCGAAGCGAGGATTTCACCGGCTTCCGAAGCAATCGTAACTTTTCGGAAACTAGCTCTTCAACGTTCGGGTGTTTCCGTAGGTCCGCGCGTTCCTCTGCGCCCAGCCCCTCCCCAAGGGTTCGGCTTCTTCCGACAATTCAAACCGCCCCAGTCTCTGGCTGCTCCCGCAGATTCTGCCCGCTCTTCGCCGCCGGCCCTATCCAAGCAATCGGCTACTTCCGACAATCCTAACCGTCCCGGACTTCTGCGCTTTCTGAAGGTTTCCAGCGCTGGCTCTCGGAACCACCCAGAGGATTAAACCCGATACCAAGCTTCGGCTCTTTCCGGACAGTGCACTCACTCCTCCCCTGCCCGAGAACTTCGGCTCCTTCCGCCACCGCTTCGGGAAGGCCTCACTCACGGGGACAGCTTCGGTTTTTTCCGTCGGCGCTTCGGCTCCTTCCGGCTTCGGGAACCGAAAAGGGAGGGAGGACAGAGACGAGGTTGGTCAGGAGAAGGGATACACAGAAAGGGCGGGGTCCCGGCTCTCTGCACCTGGCTCTCCGGGTGGGGAGAGCGGAGGGAAAGACGGGCCGATCTCGCGCAGGGCCTAAGAAGGTTGCGCGAGACAAAAGCAGGCAGCGGGGTGAAGGGTGCGCGCGGCCGCTGCGGAGGTTGCCAGCGCGGCTTTGTGCGCCTGCGTAGAGTGGAAGAGAAAGGGGGGGCTAGATCGGCTTCTGCGCCTGCGTAGAGGTCGGTCTGAGGCGAGGTTTCTCACCGTGCGGGAGGCGAGCGCGTTCCAGAGGCCCCCGCACGCGTGCGCGAGACTTTCCCTTACTCCGGGAAAGGTACTGAATTGCAGACCGTTAAGCACATCCGCCGTCTCCTGGTTGCTGTAGCAACCGCGTAAGCGCGCTCGCTCCCCTCCCGCAGCGCAGGCGCAGCAGGCGACGTAGAGGGCACTTCCGGAAGACCAGTAATCCGGCAGTACCGCCTCCTAGCGGACGGGCGTGGAAGCCTCCGCCCAGACGTGTCTCGCCCCCCTCGCGGCGGTCGCTTCTGCTCGCGGTCATCGAGTGCCGTCTCCTGCCGCCCCGCCTCTAGTTGAGCTAGCCCCGCGGGCAGCGTTAACACCTCTCTCCCGGAGCTCTGCCCCTCCGAGTTCCCTGGGGCACAGCTGCTTCTCCCGCCGCCCCTGCCGCCGGGAGTGCTAATTACACCCTGTCTCCCCAAGCTCCGGCTCCCTGCCTGACCGCCCGCTCCGTGGAGCTCGCCGGTGCCCCCATCACTGTCTCCGCGGCAACGGACACCCCCTCCAAGAAGAGGCCGGGCCTAGTTTATCCCAAATTTTATCGTCTCTCTTTAATTTAAATTCTCTGAATAATTCTTTCTCGTCCGGAAGGCGGGTGGGGAGCTCCTGGCAGAGTAGGCCAGCCTGTCTTTGGGGCTGGGGGTAGAGACAGGGTATGTACAGTGCCTGGCCCCGCAGAGTCTCGCAGTGTCCCCAGGAGGGAGGGCCGGTGAGGGCAGGACGGTGCAGCTCGCGTGGGAGGGGTGCCAGTATTTGGGAAAGGGCAGAAACCGACCCCTGGGCGGTAGCTCTTGGGAGCCTGGCTATGTGGACGCCCCTCCCCAGGGAATGCAGAAGAAGGGGAGGGTGCTAGGACCGTGAGAGGCAAGGAGGGGGCCAGATCTATATACAAGGGACCCGGGGTGGGAGTGGGGATCTGCAGGGGCAGGAGAGGCACACGCAGAAACACCCCAGGCCCTCTGGAGGAGCACACCACTCATGCACACGCTCGCCCGGTGCCAGGAGGGGCACAGGAGGAAGGGAAGGGGGGGCCGACGGGCGCGTCCTGGGCCAGGTGGGGCAGGATCACCGCTTGAAGCGGTAGGTGATGGGAAGCAGCAGCTTGCTCTTCTTGAGGGCCTGCACCTTCTTGAGGGTCTCGTCGTCCAGGGCCAGGAAGCAGCGGCGCGAGTACTCGAGCAGACGCTCCTTAGAGGGGTCGAACTCGCCGACCTCCGCCAGCTTCTCCGGGGCCACGATGAGCAGCTCCGCGATGGGCGTGGTCAGCGCCACCGTGTTGCGATCTACTCGGTGGTGCTCAAAGGCCCGAGACATGCTCTTCAGCTTCTGGAAGGTGCCCAGGATCTTCTTGTAGCGGCAGAGGACGCCGTCTGCATCCTTCACTGCAGGGCCAGGGCGGGGCAGAAACAGAGACATGAGGAACAGAGATGGACACGGGAGGCAGAGACGGGACAAGGACAGACAGGGAGCCCCATACAGGAGAAGTCAGGAGAACGACATGGAAATCCAGAGGACAGGAAGGTGAGGAGTCAAGAGGTGGTGGGAGACATGGACACAGAGTGAAACAAGTGGAAAAATCAGAGAAGACAGGCCCAGAGAGGAGGGGGAGTTCCCAGCCCAGCTGAGCCTCACCCACTCCCCTTGTTACTGAGGAGGAGCCTGAGGCTCAGATAGAGACCCCAGATGGCAAGGCTGCTGAGGGTGGAGGCTGGGACAGACACCCAGGCTAGGGGAGAAGGGAGGGCCTCCTCGAAGGTCACAGCAAGTCCCCAGCCCAGACCCCTTGAGCTCCCACCCCCTGCGTGCGCCTTGCTCACCCCGCTGCCTCTCCCGGGCCTTGGGCTTCCCAAAGCGCCTCCGGCCAGCACCTCCCTTCTGCTTCTGCCTCTTCCTCTCCATGGTACTGCCTTCTTCAGACGCTCCGCTGATAGAGGAGGCCGCTGACTCGGGGTCTGAGGCCTCGCCCCCAGCCCCACCCCGGCCATCCCCCTCAACCCGCCTGGGCCCAGGCTTCACCCGGCAGTGGTCCTCTGGAGAGACAGAGAGAAAGAGAGACCCGCACACATGAACTTCCAGAACAGGAGTGAGAAGGAGGCAAGAGGCTGGCTGTAAGATGGGGACAGATGCACATCACACAGGTCCCCAGGAGAGGGGGGCCTCAACCAGGGCTGGAGCCCCCAAGGAGACCAACAGAAATGCAGTACAGACACTGTAGTCCTCACCAAGATGGCTGAATACAGTGTACTTGGTTGGATTTGGGGGCAGAGATCACAGGTGGGGCATGGGTTCATGCTCTTCTGACTTCTAAGCTTTATGGCAAGAGATCTGGGGGGAAGGGCTGAGAGAAGCAGGACAGGACCAGACACCTCAGAGAGTCTGTTACTATAGGCTCCCCCAGTGGAGAAGGGGGCTTCTGGGAACTCAGTGGGACCTCCAGAAGAGTAGACTCTAAAAATCCAGGAAGCAAGCAAGGCCTTGGTTGGGGTGGGGGACTCACCCTGAGAGAAATCCCAGGCTCTGGGTCTAGTGGGCTGGGAAAGTCAGGCGCCCGCCTTCACCTGGACAGAAGGTGGACTGGGGGGAGGTCCAATGTTGGGACTCTCACTGAGAAAGTCCAGAAGACCCTGGGCCCAACCATCCTAGGTAGGTTCCCATCAGCATGGGGAGACAATGGGAGGTCCTAGCAACCCAAGCCACAGGTAGTTCCAGAGCACAGGGGTCCCCAATAACACAGATGTGGAAAAAACACACCCCCTGCCCACGCTGTCAGTTGAATCACAGGGGATTACAGGGTCCTGGGGAGGAGCCAGCCAGGGGCTGAACATCATGTGGAGGAAAGCAGAAGTTGGACTCTCCAAAACAGGGTGTAAAGATTTGGAAAAGGAAAGCCCTGACTATCCCTGGCAGGGGATGGCCACAGGATTCTGCCCATCAGCAGTGGCAGGAGTCAAGCAGGAAGGAAGCCGAGCTTGGGATCCCAGAGACGGCCTTGGGTGTAGGGAGAGATCCCCACTGGGCCACCAAAGGATGAGAGTAGATGAGAAGGGTGCCGTATCCCGGAGAAGGGTCCCGTATCCCGGAGAAGGGCCAGAGCTGTGTCAGGGCCCAGGAGTGAGACGAGGGACTAGCCCCTCAGGCACCTCACCTGCATCTATGCGGGCAGAGGAGATAAACTTGTCTAGCTGACACCGCAAGAAGTCCCTCTCCTCCTCCAGGTCCTCGATGCGCTTCTGCAACCATGAGTTTCTCTCCAGGGCCATGTGCAGCTGGGCCCTGACACCATTCATCAGGGCCACGGTTGGGGATGCGGCCTCCGGAGGCTCTAGGGACACCGGGGAGCCTTGGTCACACCCCAGGCCTCAAGGGCCCTGCACCCCAGCTGACTGGGGTCCCTCCGAGCCTTCCCCCCAGCTCACCCTCGAAGTTTCCCCGAGAGGGGCTCAGACTGTAAAAGATCTGTGGGTCTAGGTGGGGCGTCTCATCGAAGGGGATGGAGATCTCGAAGGCCTCATCGTCTTTCTTCACTGGAGAGGAGAGGCCAGGGGTCACCCCAGGGAAGGCCCCAGGCACCTCAGACCAGCCCCCAACCACAGCAGCCCTGGGGAGGAAAGGGCAGGGATGGGCAGGGCGGTGGTGGGACCAAGGGTGGGGCAGGGTCCCAGCTTCCTCACGTGTCCTCCTCCGGCTGTTTCGGTCATTCATGGCGCAGCCTCCAGTGGACCCAGGCAGCTTAGCGCCTCAGGGGCACTGGACAGAAAGGGCAGCCACAGATGGAGGGACCCCCCCAGGGGAGGTGGAACCCAACTCTTTAGCACTGGGGGTGGGGGGATGATGCTGAGGGCCGGGACTCCTGGGTCTGAGGGAGGACACCTGGGGTTTCAAACTCCTGGGCTCCTAGAAAACGACGGGGCTGGGGGCCAGACCCTGAGCTACTGAGAGGAGGAGGAGCGGGTTCCCCGCGGGGCACAGAGCCGAGACATCCTGGCCTGGATAGGGCGGACCCTCATCACGGGTCACCTCGGGGCCAAAAGAAGCGAGAGGTGCAGGGGGGGAGGGGACCGTGCCCCAACTTCCAGGCGTAGGGTGGGGGTCCAGCCCACGCGCAGGCCCTCCCCCGCACTCGTGTGGGCGAGCAGGGCCCCTCCCCCGTGGTGGAGGGGGCGGGGCGCGTGCGCAGTGCGGGGGGAAGGTCACGCGTGGGGATGCGCCCCCGCCCCCGCCCTTTGTCCCCCGGGTGGGAGGGGGAGCGATGTGGGCCAGGGGTCCCAGCGGGAGACGCACTAGGCCGCGGGTGCAGATGCGGCCACCACCCCCCGCCCACAGGTTCCCGGGGTCGGAGGGGCCAGAGCCCCGCGCTCACCCACCCGCGCGCGGAATCCGGCCAGGGGACCGACAGTGGCGGCGCCCATGTCCGGCGCCGGGGAGCGTCTGCAAAGTATCGCGGGGAGTGGAGGGAAGCGCCCACCCGCCGCGGGCGGGCTGGGCGGCAGAGGCGGCGAGTCTCGGGCGGGGTGGCGGGCCGGTAGGAGCGGGCAGGGACGTCGGTGCTTCCCGGTCCGCCGGTCGGTGCGCTCCTCCGGGACCCTCCGGCCCCAGTTGAGGCCCGCCGTTTGCGGCAGAGGCGCGGGCTGCACTTGCGCGACGGCCCCTTGCCGTACTACCCCTCCCTCCGCGAAGCCCGGGCAGGGAACGTCGAGAAACTCCCAATTCCTGGAGAGCAGGCGACTCCGGGGTCCCCGGGGTGGGTGGCGACACACCGAGTCGGGCCCGGGAGAGAGAAGGAGACAGCCAGGGAAGTTGAAGCACAGGGAGAATCTTTTTCAACGGTACCCTAGGAACTGGCCCCACGGACCCCCGCAACCCGCTCCCATCTCCCACAGTATGCACATCACCAGCACAACCAGACAGCACGCACGGTTCCTAGGACCATGGGAGGGTGGAGGGGTTAGAGTTACCCTCCTTGAAAATAGGGGCCTGGGGGCGCCTGGGTGGCTCAGTTGGTTAAGCGACTGCCTTCAGCTCAGGTCATGATCCTGGAGTCCCAGGATCGAGTCCCACATCGGGCTCCCTGCTCAGCAGGGGGTCTGCTTCTCCTTCTGATCCCCTTCCCTCTCGTGCTGTCTCTCATTCTCTCTCTCTCAAATAAATAAATAAAATCTTTAAAAAAAAGAAAATAGGGGCCTGGAACACCACCAGCACCACTCCTGTGGTAGCGGTTATGAGCTAGCTTGGGAGCCTTCAGACCCAATCTTGGCCGCTCCTTCTCCCCCAACCCCGCCTCAGTTTACTCACCTGTAAAGTGGGGAAGTTATGGTCCCTTTTAGGTTCCTTGTGAGGATGTACTGATATGGTGCAGGCAAAACGCTCAGCCCAGCGTCTGGCCAGAGTCTAGGCTCAAGATCAGGGCGCTGGCAGTGGTATTTGAGGTCAGACAGTGGGAGGCTCTTTCCCTCTCTGGGGAGTGGAGATGGCTAATTTGTTCTTCCACCCAAAAAGAGGTCGGAAGAAGAAATGGGGCCCAGCACAGTGCCTGGCACAAAACAAACGCGCAAGGAAAATTCATTAAGAAGGCAGATGTTTATTCAGCTTTCGGCTCAGCTCCCTGCCTCTCCTCCCAGTCACCAGTTGCTACTGGGATTTTTGCCAGCCCTACAAGAGTAGGGCTTTAACCTTGCAGAAGGAGAATTTAAATGTCTGCACCACTTAGAAAGCTGTGGCCACCCTCCTCTCCTACCTGCTTCACATTACAGACAAACTGCAGGCTGGGTCAAAAACGTCCAGGGGGAGGTACCTGCCCTAGATCGGTGTTTTGCAAACTACAGGTTCATGGGCAGGGAATTCAATATAATAGAACAGAATTGGCAGGAGGAAGAAAAAGGGGACTGCACGTGGCAGAGATTCAGTATTGTTAAAGTTTTGTTTCACATATATTTTGTGTAACGTATACTGGGTTGCCTAATAAAATGTATCGTACAATAGATCCTATCTTTAAAAAGGGGGGGCGGGGGTGGGTTTAAAAACACTCTGCCTAGATGATGCACCTTGTGAGGAGCCACACTAGGATTGACCCCAGTGTGCCCCAGTGCGGAAGGCCAACCTTCCCATCCCATGCCAGGCAAGCCAAGCATTTTGCACTGGTATGACCCATGCAAGGCGCTCAGCACAACACCTGGCCATAGTCTAAGCTCAAGATCAGGGCGCTGTTCCTGTTATTTGAGGTCAGACAGTGGGAAGCTCTTTCCCTCTCTGGGGAGAAGAAATGGCTGATTTGTTCTTCTGCCCAAAAAGAGGTAGGCCAGGCACTTGCTGAATCTCCCTGTTGGGCAGCAGGCTGGCCAAGCCGCTGTCCCCAAAAACAAATCTCAAGTGCTCAAAATGGGAAAGGTGTTTATTGGGCGTCCAGTCTCAGGCCCTGGCTGGGGGCTGGGAGGCAGGTCAGGGGCCCTGTCCCCCAGCATCAACATGGAGGCCTTGGGAAGCTGGTGCAGATTCTTGATGGCTCCCAACCCCATTTTTCAGGCTGGAGGATTTCCACCCATAGCACTCTCCCCCACACCTCCAGTCAGGGCTCAGCCGAAAGCTGGAGGGCTCCACTCTGTGAATGTTAACGTCTTGTCTCCATCTTATCTCCAAGACACGAAGGCTACTCATGAGCTCCTCCTTCAGGCAGGGCTTGGCCTTTGCAGGAGGTGTGTCTGTGTCCAGGGCTGCAACCCAGCCTTCCGCACTGGCCTGGTGTCTGAGGGCGACAGGAGTCCAGGCTCCCCCCAGAACCCCATGGTACCTGGGGTACCCCGCAGCCTGGCTCATGGATGCTTCCACCGAGTATGCTTTTGCAGCGTGTTCTGCTCCATAAATCGGCGTGGGCAGTGGGGGCACTGAAATGGGCGCTCTCCCGAGTGGACCCGGCTGTGCTGGGCCAGCTCACCGGCCTCACGGAAGCGGCGAGGGCAGAGCGGACAGCCATGGGGTCGCCCACCGCCAGCCCGGTGGATGGAGTGGTGCCGAGCCAGGTGGCTGGCCCGCTTGAATGCCTTCCCACAGGTGTCACACTCGAAGGGCTTCACCTCCGAGTGGGTGATGCTGTGTCGCTGAAGGTAGGACATGTACTCGAAGACCCGGGAGCACACAGGGCAGCTGTAGCACTTTTTCTGAGCTGATGCCCCATCTGCCCCAGGCTCTCTCTGAGACTCCTGGTCCACCAGCACGGTGTATGGGATGCCCTGGGTGTCAATAAGCAGGTAGTGGTTGGGCCTCGGAGACGAGGAAGTCTGGGGAGGTCCTGTGGAGGAGGAAGGTCCGGGTTCTGGAGACCTGCCTGTCCGAGAGGGCGGGGCCTCCATGGCCTCTGCGGAGGGCAGCACCAGCATCCGGAGGGCTGGCTGAGGCCTGGTGGACGGGAGAGAGGGTGAGGTTAGGTAAAGGAGGGAAGCTGGCTGCATGAGCTCTGTTCCTTACCCTCCGTGTACGCTGCCCACGACCTGTGCATCCCCCAGCCTCCGTCCCCGGACTCTATGGCCTTCTGTAAAGCTTCTAGGGTCCTTCTCCCTGCCCCCCGTTCCATCACCTACTGTAAGCACAGGCGCACCCGGGCCCTCCTCAGGTGCCTGGGCGCCCCTCTACTCTGGCCACCCGCAGGGCCTCTCCAGGCCCCACCCCCTAGACCTGCAGGTTTCTCTCTCGGCTCTCCACGCCCCTGACCCGGGTCTGGGTGTCGCCCCATCCTATTACTCCACCCAGAAGCCTGGTCTACCCCTTTCATGTTTGCCCGAGCCTTCTCCAACAGGCTGCCACGTTAAGACCCGCAGGTCCTGACCCGCCATCCAACAACCTCCCTGAACAGCCCTGCGCCCCCCTCCTAGCCCAGCTACCTCTAGGTTCTCTCTCGTCCCCGCCCATCCAGCTCACCCTCCCCAAGTTCTTTCTGGGTCCTAGCGCTCTCTAGGGCGTCGGCCCCGCGAGTTCTGGGCGGTGCCCTCCCGAGCCCCCACAGCGGCCCCTCCCCGCCCAGCGCACAGGTACCCGCTCCCAGCCCCGCCCCTCTCGCGGCCAGCTCCCCGCTCCCTCCCGCCTCCCGGCCCCCGTACCCGGTGCAGCAGCCTCTCGGGTCCGGGCGACTCCGGAACGGCCCCGAGCTACCCCCGTGCTCGCAGGTGGTGGCGGGACGAGCGCCTCTGGGTGTCCCCCGGGAGCTGGTGGCACCGGTAACAGACGAGCGGACCGGGGCGCGCAGAAGAGGGTCCGGGGAGGAAGGTGGGGGCGGGGCGCCTGGGCCTTCGGGAAACGGATCCGGCCAGAAACACTCGCCGAGAGGAAGGTTCCCAGGTGCTCACGGTCCTGGCTGCCCCCTCCCAGCCCGCTGCGCACCCCAACACACACACACGCAAATCAAAGCCCTAAAGTGGAGTGCGGAATGTTTATTGAGTAAGGGGTGAGGGCTGTGGGTGGAAAGGGGGAGATACAGAAATGAGCCAGACCGCGCCGTGCTCTTTTGTTAAATCTTCCGCGCACACAACCGTTCACCACTTCGGAGCAGAAGACCAAGGCTCGGAGACGTTGTCACCTGCAAAGGCTCGCGCAGCACAGCCGGGCCGGAACCCAGCTCCAAGACTGGCTCCCAGGCCCAGGGAGGGGCAACGGCTTGGTCTACATCACACAGCTAGAAGGAAGGTGAGGAAGGGCTGGTGTTTCTCCCTTTGGGCGGGTGGAGAAACGGAGGCCCCGGGTAAGGCTGGGAGCACGTGTGGGAGTGACGCTGTGTGGCTCGCGAGGCCCCGAGGGTCTGGAACTCAGTGCAGGCGCACGTGCTGCGCCAGCTCCGCGGCGTCCTGGAAGCGGCGTGGGCACAGCGGGCAGGTGTGCGGCGGGCCTGCGCGCGCGCGGTGCGTGGCGCGGTGCCGCGACAGGTGGCTGGAGCGCTTGAAGGCCTTGCCGCAGGCGCCGCACGTGAAGGGCTTGAGGTCCGAGTGCGACACGCGGTGGCTCTGCAGCCGCAGAGGGCTGGCAAAGACGCGAGCGCACTCCGGGCAGCTGTAGCCCTTGCGCGGCCCGGGTTCTCCCGGCGCTGCCTCGCGCTGGGGCGGGCCCCGGGGCTCCTCCTCCAGCTGCACCGTGTATGTGTAGGGCACCCCGTTGGCGTCGATGAGCAGGTGGCGGCCCAGCCGCGGGGGCCGGGGCCCTGCCGCCGAGGATGGAGTGGAGGAAGGGCCTTCCGTCTTGGGGAAAGGGGGAGCTTTGGGGGGCGGTGGGTCCATGGCCTCTGGAGAGGAGGACCGAGGGTGGGGTGGCCGAGGCGGCAGCAGCAGCATCTGGGGTGTCAGCTGCGAGCAGTGGAGGGGGGAGAAATTAAAATCGCGACTTCCTGGGGGAGAGCGTCCCTATTACCACTGCTCGTTAGGCTCTCTGTACCACTGACCCACCTCTCCTGCAAAAGAGAAACCGCCTCTAGGCCAGGCGGCGCCGCTCCCAGGACACCCCCTGCCTGCCTTTCCTCCCGCGGCTCCCTCTCAGCCCCCAGGCCAGGCCGGAGGTCCCTATCCTGCGCCTTTCCTATCCCCCAAATCCCCCACAGCCTGCCAATCGGCAAGTCTGTTTCCTCCCTGTACAGCTTGTTCCTAACGGGTCGCTCGCTTCCTCGGCTTCCCAGGCCCAGCTCGGGTGGCACCCTCTCCCCCCGGGGCCAGCACAGCAGCCTCGTTCCCTGGGAGGCCTCCCCATCTCTGCACACATCGTGGCCTCGCTCGGATTCCCTTCTGGGTACGCCCTAAGAACGCCAGTTTTCACTCTGGGCTCCCCTATTCCGACCCTGCACTTAACATCTCCAAGTCTCACCCTCCCCCTCGCCTAGCGGACCCATTGTCTGGATTTCACGCACACATCCCTAGGACGCCTCAGCTGCTGCTTCTGCGCACCCCACACCGGGGCCCTGCTACCATCTAAATGCCCCCCAGGGGTTGCCCCTGTCTCCCCCGCCTCTAGACTCAAGTCACCGACATCCTTCTTTCTTCTGTCTGTGCCCCTCAGGGGCCTCGTCCCGCTCCCCGTTAGCCGCTCCGGGGCTCCCGGAGCCCCCTCCCCTCCCCTCTGTGCATCTGGCACCTCTGTTTCTCCATCCCTCCAGCCAGCTCCTGTGTGCCGCCTCCTTCTGTAACCCCAGCGCCCGGGGTCCCCCCGTCCCCCTTCTCGCTGCACCCTCAGAGCCCCTCTCTCCCTCCGGTCCGTCCCCCGCCCGGC